AAAAAAAAAAAAAACTGAAGCTGGGTATGCTGGCACATACCTTTGATCCCTGCACTCGGAGGCAGAGGCAGGTGGATCTGTGGGAGTTGAAGACCAGCCTGGTCTACATACCGAGTTCCAGGCCAGCTGAGGCTACAGGGAGACCCTACCTCAAAAAGACCAAAAGAGAAAGAAAAAAAAATTAAAATGAAATGGAAAAGGAACAAAGCATGATGTACCTGCAACAACACTCCAGAAATGTTCCGTTTTAGACAACAGTTGAGGAAAACACAGTGACAAGGGACTTTGGGGAATCCAGAGCTGGGCAGGGATGCTGAAGTGACCTCAGGCTGCAGAGTGCCCCTGGAGCTATGGCACCTCCAGGTGCCTTTCCTGAGGGACCCATGTCTCCATGGGTCCACTCCACCACTACCTCCCATATACTCAGGAAGGCTGGAGGGTTGCCTGAGGTGCTCTTGGTAAAGGAACAAGTTCCTGGAGAATATCAGATGGCCTGCATAGTGTTGGAGACAGTGGGCTCACATGGGATGGCCATGTGGTGAGGTATATGGACTGTAGGAAAAGATGTTTGGCTTTAGTTCCAGTACTCCTGAGAGGGTCCAAATCCCTCTTTCTTGTTGGACTGGTTCTGAGCTATGGCTCAGCAGCCTGATCCCAGCCAGACCAAGGGGACACAGGGACTCAAGGGATATGTCTGCAAGCCTGGCCCACATGGTTCTTTTACAGACGGTGGAACATGGCTTCCCACACCAGCCCAGTGCCCTCGGCTACAGCTCCTCACTGCGCATCCTGGCCATTGGCACCCGCTCCGGAGCCGTCAAGCTGTATCCTTACCAGTGCCTACAGCCACAGGGAGAGACCAAGGTGGGGTGTGGGGTAGCTGAGATCTTTGCCAGCTTTGCTGCTGGGCAGTTGGTCTAAGAGCAGGGGAGGGAAGTTAGCCTGGCAAGCTATGTGCCATTTTAGAGGAGGAAGGCTGGGTTTATTTTGTCTTTTCGTTCCTTCTTTACTACAACTGGAGGTTTCAGGGATCGAGCTATATCTGATTGTGGGGCCCTGAGTGGCTGGCATCATGCCCAGAGGAGACAGCTTTGCCCCAGTGTCTTTTCCTTCTGCTTTGACAGGGTGTGGGGCCCAGAGACTTGTTGTGGGGGGTGGGGAAGGCTGGGCTGAAGGCAGGAGATTCTAAAGAAGGGCCTGATAGCTGTGTCCTATCACTGTGTAAGTGGGTGGCCAGCCAGTCAAGCACCTAGCAGATACCTTCCCAGTATCCCCCTCAGGCTACGATAGCAATGGGGCTCTTGAGAGAACCTCCAAGATAGTGGGCACACCTCCTTTAGGGAGGCCTGGGCCCCATTCTTTGCTGCCTTTAAGTCTACCCATCTCCCTGAAAAAAAATAGATTTCACATGACCCCTCTTGTCCCTTAGAATGTTCCATATATGCACTCAGAACTCTGTCCTGCCAGTAGCAAGTGGAGGTAGTGATGAGACAAGAAGCAATTTTTGTTTACCGTTTTTTTGTTTACCGTTTTCCTCCATGAAGGTCTGGAGTAGACTGGCCGGCCCTGAGCTGTGTCCACAGGTGGAGGTAGGGTGGCCTCGGGTTGGGGAGTAGCCACACACGCACACACACTAGAGAGGGGGCGGACTTTGCTTGGCAGGGACAGGCCCTCCCTGACTTGTGATTGGACATTGTCTGGTTGTACTGTCTTTTGTCTAGAACATTGGATGACTAGAGTGTGAGTAGTTTCATGAGATTGCCCCTCAGATTTAACCTCCAGCTAGCTGGGCCTCAGGTTTCACCTCCACTGGGCCTCAAAGTTAACCTCCAGCTAGCCTGGGGTGAGCTGGATCCTAAACACACACACACCACCCCCCCATAGCATGAGTGAATTGCAGGTGCCAGGTGGACTGGGCGGGGCTGGTGTACACAGAAGAGGCTGGGGCCCAGGCCCTGCCATGGTATAACCTTCCCCTGTCTGGTTAATCATTGCCAGCCAGTCATACCCCAGTTGCCAACACTCAGGGCAAAGCTGCAGGGGGTGGCCCCTATCATGACCTGTGTTCTCACAGGTACCACTGGGTGACAGGCAATGGGCCTGTTGTAGTAGCTCAGATTGCAAGGGCGGCTTAGGGGAGGGGTGGCCACCTAACAGTTACCAGGTAGAGTTTCACCTTTCTGGGGAATTGCTCCCCATCTGTCATGGTGGGGAAACTCTCCAGGGTCAGGCTGTGTGCCCCTGGGCCAGGCCACTGCCCTTTCCCCCAACCTCTTGCCCCTGGACATGGGCAGGCCCTCCACCTAACAGTTACCAGGTAGAGTTTCACCTTTCTGGGGAATTGCTCCCCATCTGTCATGGTGGGGAAACTCTCCAGGGTCAGGCTGTGTGCCCCTGGGCCAGGCCACTGCCCTTTTCCCCCAACCTCTTGCCCCTGGACATGGGCAGGCCCTTCCCTCTGTGTGCTCTTTGCCACCTGGGCAGTTGAGCCTGCCACTAGGGTGGGACCTGGCTGATATCCAACTTTCCAAGGTTTTCCTGAGTCTTCTCCTAGATACGGTGCCCCCGGGGTAGAGTTCATGGGGCTCCATCGGGAGAACAATGCTGTGATGCAGATCCACTTCCTGCCTGGCCAGGTGAGCACCTAGCTTGGAGAGGGGACTAGGAGGGACAGGGCTTCCTTGCTGACCTTCTTATCCTCTTGTCTACCAGAAGAGGTGGTATGGCAAGGGGCATGGCCTGGGTTTGGTGCTCATCGAAAAGCTCGGGAGGACTTCTGGTCTTGGAACTCCTCGAAACACCTGGTGCAGCCTGGGCTGTCCAAGGGAGTGAAGGTCTTGGAGAATGTTGGCTCTCTTTGGCTAATGAGGCAGTACGTTCCTGTCCCCATTTTCTCCCTAGTGCCAGCTGGTCACCCTGTTAGATGACAACAGCCTGCACCTATGGAACCTGAAGGTCAAGGGTGGCATGTCAGAGCTTCAGGAAGAAGAGAGTTTCACTCTACGTGGCCCCCCGGGGTAAGAGCTCCATAATCCCCTTCCTTTCCTGGCCCACCTTATCCTCTCTCCCAGTTCCAGGGTGGCTTATCCTTTGAGTAACCCATTGCACCCTTGACAGTGCCTAACATGTGTTCAAGCCACTGTCTTGTGCTCAGGTACTCTGGGTATAGTGGGATGGACTGTACCCCTCCCATGCCCAGAACCTCTTGTGCACAAGGGTCCTAGATATTTTTCTTCCCTCCCAGCTCACACACTCTGCTGTCTGTCTCTCACCTTGGTAAAAAGTATACTGATCATTTGCCTGGGGTCCCTGCCTGGACAACAGACAGTTTATGGGCAGCTGTCCCTGTTTATAGGGCTGCCCCCAGTGCCACGCAGATCACCATGGTTCTGCCTCACTCCTCCCAAGAGCTGCTCTACCTGGGCACAGAGAGTGGCAACGTGTTTGTGGTGCAGCTGCCAGGCTTCCGCACATTGGACGACAGGACCATCAGCTCAGATTCAGTGCTGCAATGGTGAGCTGCCTAGAGCCTTGAGTGGGCCATGGCCTTCTCCCGTTAGCCCCCGGTTAATGGCTCCGTTTATCATTTCTATCCTGGGAAGTCTAAGGGGACAGAAAAGAAAACCCTGAGCCTTTCACTTGTTCCCTGAAATTGAGGATCTGTCACCCTGTTTAAGTTAACATCATAGCACTAAAAGGGGGAATCTTGGAAGTAATTTTTGTAAAGGTGAGGGAAGTGAGACCCAAAATCTTGGTGTAATGTCAGTAAGTCCTAGTCTAATGTCCTTGGCCCTGAGACCACAAGTCTCAAAGTCCCAGGGACTCCACAGTTGGGGACAGGCTCAGGCTCAAACCTCTTTGTGTCAGGGGAGCCAGCTCCTGCTGACACCTGAGGTTTGTGGCGCTGCTGTGACTGTAAAGCTGGGAAGTTTGTTGAGATCTTTTCAGAGACTTACTGCTTAAGAACAGGATCTACCACACAGAGGTGGGATTTGGAGTAGCTCTGGGGATGCAGAGGGACTCAGGGCTTTAGAAGGGAGTTGGAAAAGTCAGACAAGAGCTTGTTCAGCCTGATGGATAGTGGTGGAATGTGCTGTAGTTCCAAGGTGAGGCTAGTGTGCTAGGACCCAGCCCTGGAGGTCTCTGGACCAGCCTCAAGACACATAGAGTTGACAAACCAGGCTCTCCTGGTCTCCAAGTGGCAATGAAGCACAACCCATCTGTCCAGCTGGGGCACTGCCAGGTTGGGAGGATTCCTCTGTGGGGCGGAGTCCCTCTGACTATAAGCCCTTGTGCCTTTCCCGCTTGGCAGGGTAGGACAGGACTAGGCTGGGACAGCTTGCCTGAGGTCAGAGCAGAGTAGTTGCAGGATGGCAGGTGGGATAGCTGGTGCCCAGCCTGGACTGGGTCTGTGAAGGTCTGGGAGCAGGACATTGGGACAACCTGCCCTGCACAAGTGGTCCTGCCAGAGAGAGCCCAGCCTCACCCCATGGTGAGCTGGCCGAGGTAGTCAGGGAGGGGCTGGACTGCCTAAGAACCCGGTCTAACAATCTAAATCTTCATTTACCTTTTAATAACATCTACTTAGGTTTTAATTTTATTGGGTAGGGTTGGGGGCTTTTTGAAGCAGGGTTTCACACAGCCCAGGCTGGCTTCAAACTTACTGTGTAACTGAGGCTGGCTTTGAACAGAAGGGCCAACAGGATGGCTCAGCAGGTAAAGCTTATCACTGACCACTCATACCTGACAACTAGCATTCAATCTCTGCAATCCACGTAAAGGTAGAATGAGAGAAAAAAATGTCTGGGGCTAGAGAGATGGCTCAGCAATTAAGAGCATTGACTGCTCTTGCATAGGACCTGGGTTCGGTCCCCAGCACCCACATAGTAGCACACAACTATCTGTAACTACAATTTCAGGGGATCAGATGCTTTCTTCTGGCCTTCATGGGCATTGCATGCACATAGTGTGCTTACATGCAGGCAAAACATAAAATAAAAATAAATCTCTTTTTCTGGACACAGTGGTGCATACCTATAATCCCAGGACCTCGGCTGAGGCAGAATTGCTGTGAGATTTAGGCCCACTAGGGTACATAGCTGGACCCTGTCTCAAAAAAAAAAAAAAAAAAAAAAAAAACAACAAAACAAGGAGCTAGAGAGATGGCTCAGCAGTTTAAGAACATTGATTGTTCTTGCAGAAGACCTGGGTTCGAACAACTGTCCATAGCTCCAGTTCCAGGGGATCCAACACCCTCTTTCTTCTGCAGGCATTGCACAACACAGGTGCACTTGCATACATGCACACAGTGCACATAAAATAAAGCAAAAAAAAAAAAAAAAAAAAAAAAAAAAAAAAACCTGCCTTTTAAAAAAAATGTGTATGTAACTGCACCACATGCATGCAGCACCTGAAGAGGCCAGAAGAAGGTGTTACAGCCCCTGGAATTGTAGTTACAGATAGTTGTATGCCACCATTTGGTTGGTGCAAACCAAACCTGGGTCCTCTACAAGAGCAGCCACTGTGCTTAACCACTTAGCTCTCTCTCCAGCACCCACAATTGTTTTTAAAAATATGATCTGGGACTGAGATGGCTCAGTGGTTAAGAGCCCTTCCTGCTCTTCCAGAGAATTCAAGTTCAGTTCCCAACACCCGTATTAGGTGATTCACAACTGCCTCTAACTGCAGCCCCAGGGGACCTGACGCTCCCTACTGGCCTCTGTGGATGCCTGCGCTCTCTCTCATGCACACGAACACATACATACATAAATAAAAGGGAGGGGGACAGGACATCGCTACATTACCAAAAACAAAACAAGGGAGTGACTTCTAGGGATGTTGACGGGGGCGTAAGAAGGGCACGTAGAGACTGGAGAGCTGGCAAAGCTGTTTCTATACCCAGGGGTCACTTTAGAGAGACTCACTCTATAAGAACCTTTTAAGCTATACATTCATACTTTGTGCTTTTCTGTGAATAATAAAGCGGTTTTAAGACCCATAAAACAAAATGAGTTGGCCGTGCCCTCCAGCCTTGACTTCTCTGGGCATGAAATGCTGGTGTGAAGTCTGGAGGTGCTGAAGCCAGCAGAAAATTTAAAGGCAGTAGGCAGAGAACCAAAATTCAAAGTCAGGGGCATCAAGTGGGAAACAGAAATAACATGGACAAGGGGACCATTTAAGTGCCCCAAACCAAACTAAGCTAAATCTCCCAGGGTTCTTGTTGGCCTTGCTGCCCGCACTGTCCTCTGTCCACTGTGGGAGCCAGGGGGTCAAAAGAGACTTTCATGTTATCTGTAAAGATTATGTTTTTTTTAGGCCAGGTATGGTGGCTCATGCCTTTAATCCCAGCATTCAGGTGGTAGATGCAGGCAGATCTCTGAATTCAAGGCCAGCCTGGTCTACATAGTAAGTTCCAGACCAGCTAGGGCTACACAGTGAGACCCTGTCTTTCCCAGTTGTTTGTTTTTTTCAGGAGTGTCTCATGGCCCAGGATAACCTTGAACTATTATGTAGCTAAAGATGACTTTGAACTGGCAGTCCTTCTGCTCCCCCTCCCAAGTTCTAGGATTGCAGGTGTTTATCACTACACCTGGCCCCTAGGTTTTTTGTTATTTTAAGATTTATTTTCGGGGCTGGAGAGATAGCTCAGCGGTTAAGAACACTGGCTGTTCTTGCAGAAGACCAAGTTTCGAATCCCAGCACCCACATGGCAGCTAACAACTGCCTGTAACTCCAGTTCCAGGGGATCCAACAGCCTCTTCTGTCCTCTGAGGGCATTGTGCACATGGGTGCACTTTCCTACATGCAGGCAATACATGAGTACACATAAAATAAAAATAATAAATAAATAAATAAAAGATATGCCAGGCGTGGTGGCACACACCTTTAATCCCAGCACTTGGGAGGCAGAGGCAGGCGGATCTTTCTGTTAGAGGCCAGCCTGGTCTACATAATGAGTTCCAGGACAGCTGGGGCTACAGGGAGACCCTGTCTGAAAAAGACAAAAAAAAAAAAAAATTATCTTCATTTATATGTATGTGTGTCTATATGAGTATATGCTACACATGGGGTACCTGCAGAGACCAGAAGATGGCGTCAGATCCCCTGGAGTTGGAGTTACAGATGGTTGTGACCTGCCTGGTATGGGTGTTGGGAGCCGAACTCATCTCTTCTGCAAGAGCAGTACATGCTCCTAACTACTGAGCTATCCCTCTAGTTGTGTCCCTTCTTCCCTCTCCATCTTGTCCTAATGACCCCCACTGTGATGTGTGCCCCACCAGCTTCCCAGGAAAGCACATGGGGTACCCACTGCTGTGTGGATTCACAGCACTCTCCTGCCTAGGTTGCCAGAGGAGGCCCGTCAACGGCGAGTGTTCGAGATGGTAGAGGCTCTGCAGGAACATCCTCGTGACCCCAACCAGATCCTCATTGGCTACAGTCGGGGTCTTGTTGTCATCTGGGACCTACAGGGCAGCCGTGTGCTCTACCATTTCCTCAGCAATCAGGTAGGTTGTATCTGGGGCAATGGCTCTCTCAGGCTTCATATGTATCCCAGTCACTGATTTCTCCCTCTCCTCATCCAAAGCAACTGGAGAACGTCAGTTGGCAGCGAGATGGCCGCCTGATTGTCACCTGCCACTCCGATGGCAGTCATTGCCAGTGGCCAGTGGCCAGTGTCTCCCAGCACATAGAGCCCCTGCGCAGCTCCATACCTTATGGTCAGTTCTTCTCCTGCCCAGAGGGTCTGGCCTTGTCTTCTGCCTAAGGAGCACCTTCTGTCTTTCCTGGATTCGGGTGTAGGCTGCCTAGCTCATAGAAGCAAAAACAGAGAGGCTCAGGGCTTGGTCCAAAGCCACACAGCTAGTTTTTTAGTACCCACTGTGGCTACCTCAGGGAATATCTGAGCAAGCCTCCCCAACACAGATCCACTTGTGGCTGGGAGAATGAGGGATCTGGACCGTGTGGGAGACCCATTCACGTTAATGCCTGTTCTCTTAGGTCCCTTTCCTTGCAAAGCTATTACCAAAATCTTCTGGCTGACCACCAGGCAAGGGTAAGTGCCAGTACATTCTTCTCCCCACTTTCCATAGCCTTACTAGAGTGCTGGAAAGACCACCTGGGCTCTTGCTTAGGGAATCAGTGCCTGTGAGGACAGGGGTGTTGAACCCACAGAAGGGAGGAAAAGGCAGATGTCTCAGTTCTTCCACTCAGGAGCTGAATTCCAACAAGACCCATTCCCACATCTTCCTTCTACTTTCCCATATACATGCTATCAGTCAGAGTTTCGCACTCTTGGCTGCAGCCCCATTTCTTTAGGAAGAATTGTACAGGGAGGCCTGATGTGGGAGCAGTTGAGGGGGCCCAGTCTGGAAGAACAGGGGTGGTTGCTGAGATTCAGAACTGCCAGCCTGGATACCCCACCTCGCCCCCTAGTTCTCCTAAGCTGCTGCAGTTGGGAAGAGTGGGAGTCTACCCTGTCCCCTCTAGGCAGCCTGAGACTGGCCTCCCTTTTGGCACTGGGATTTCTCAGCCTCCAGGCCGTGCCACGAAGGCTGGCTATCGCCCTGTGTGTCCCAGCCACCAACCTGGCTTGTGGCTGTGTGGGGTTGTGAGAGAGCCCCAGCCCACCCTCCTCCTGTGCCTGCAGGTTGCCCTTCACCATCTTCCAGGGTGGCATGCCACGTGCCAGTTATGGGGACCGCCATTGCATCTCGGTGGTCCACAATGGTCAGCAGACAGCCTTTGACTTCACCTCCCGTGTCATTGACTTCACTGTCCTGACCGAGGCAGACCCTGCAGCTGGTAGGCGGGCTTTGGGAGTGGGGGTGCTGGGCAGGTGCAGAGAGGGAAAGGGGTGCTGCCTAGGTGTTCTTCCCAAACCTGCCACCATTCTGGGTTCCTTGATCACCCCTTTTCAGTGCCACTAAGGCCAGTGGCACCTATGAACTCCATTCTGTCTTTCCTTGTCATTCTCCCAGATGGAGACGCAGTCAGGAATGTCACCCTTCCAGGCCACACCTCTTGCCTGTCCCAAGCTCTCTTTAAGGGGTTTGACCCAATGTGGGCAGATCTGCACTGTTGGATTTATGCCTGCTTAAATTTGGCAAGAGGGTCCTGGCCCAGACTTGGTGAGGTCTGGGTGGGGTAATAGGTGGCCATATATAACTAGCTCTGAGTCAGCCTCATAAATGGGATAACAGGCCAGGGCAGCAAGGGCTGGTATAAAAACAGGGAGGAGGTCTGGGAGTTCTCCATGAGGGAGTGAGGGCAGGCCTCTTCTGCTAATGACCACAACTTACCTGAGTAAAGTCCTCAAGTATGGGAGGCAGGGCTGTTCAGGACATCCATGGCCTCTGAGTTCCCTTGACCTTCCCAACATACAGGGAGACCCCAGACCCATTTCTTTCTCAGCTACTCCTCCCTCCTTGTATTTTGGATGCTTACAACAGGGCTTCAGTCAGTATCACCGGGCCCCAGAGCCTGGGGTCTCCTGGACTGCGCCTGTCCCCACTCCTCTTGGCTGATCAGGACAGCAGTGTGTGGAGGAAGCAGGAGAGAAAACTTCCTAGATATATATTCAAAACCAGTGATGATGTCCAGGGCAGACTATCCTCCTGTGACTGTCCATCTGTGTCCTCAAGCCCCTTCCATTTCAAGCAGGCCAGGATATGAGTATGTGGTAGAGTGCTGCCCTCAGCAAGATGTGGGCCCCTGAATCTCCTGTGTAATTCCTGCCTATCTTGCCTGGGATGGGCATGCTTTCCTGTTCATTGAATGACTCCTGTGTGCCAGGCCCTGTCCCAAGAACAGATACAGCCCCACTCTGATGGGGCTGAAGTGTGGGAAGGCAGTTGACAGATGATATCAGAGGCAAGGAAAAAAGCAGTTGAGCAAAATGGGCAGGGGTAGGGAACGTAGTAAGTTTATGTAGTCAGCAAGGCCTCCAGGATAAAGAATATACTTGAGTAGACACCAAAATGAACTAAGAGTACAGGGGTGGCCCCACAGGCACCTGGGGTGCAGAGAGCTCTTGACCTGCTCAGGTGAGGTGTGGGCAGAGGGCTGGGGAGAGGAGAATAACGTAGAGATGATTGCCAGTGTGGTCAGTGCTGGATCACACAGGACTGGAGAGGCACAGTGAGGTCTTTGGGTTGATAGAATGGGCAGTGGGCTAGATCTGTCCCTCCGACCATTGTCTGTGGACCACTTGTCTAGGTTGAGGTGAGAAGAGGGAGCAGTGACTTCACAGGACACTGGGACTGGGTTTTGCATGGCTACTCTTGTCTGCTGGCTCCTTCACTCCTAAGCAGCTGTTCGGATCCCAAGCTTTCCATAGCTCTATGTGGATGGCTCTAAAGGTGCAAAGGTCTCTCCTCTAAATCCAGGCTCAAACCCCAGCATACACTCAGCATCTCCTCTAACTTTACACACCCAAAAATCTGCCCCTCTCCTGGTCTTCTCCAAACTTCCCAAGGCTCCCACCAGATACCTCGTCTTATCCTGGACTCCTCTGCCCTCTTCTCACTCTGCGTATGTGGAAACACAAACACACCCACTCGCTGACACACTGCCTGTGCCTGCATTGGGTCTGCGAGAGTAGAACTGAGAAGCTGTGGCAGGAAAAACAATTGCCATCCAGCTCTTTACCGGTCTGGACCATCAGTCAAGGCTGAACATTAGAAAGAGCTCAAACCAGTCAGTCAGTCGCAACCCCACCACTTCATCCCTGACTGAGCTCAGGGCCTCTTGTTTTGTTGGCTCTCAGAGGCTCTGGTCTCTGCCCCCACAGGCTGCTTCCCATATGGTGGCCACATAGAGAGCCCTGATGGTGTCACTTCTGCTTGGGGCTCTTGTTTAGCATGAGACAATCAGTGCAGATTGATGGATCCAGTTCTGACTCAGGAGCTCTTTCTGCTGGCCTGCCAGGGGCCAATTACCTCTTCCTAACCCTGACCCTTTACATTTGATGACCAGCCTTTGATGACCCCTTTGCCCTGGTGGTGCTAGCTGAGGAGGAACTGGTGGTGATCGACCTGCAGGCAGCAGGCTGGCCACCAGTCCAGCTGCCTTACCTGGCCTCCCTGCACTGCTCGGCCATCACCTGTTCCCACCACATCTCCAACATCCCCCTGAAACTGTGGGAGCGTGTCATCACTGCAGGCGGCCGGCAAAACTTGCACTTTTCCACCATGGTAGGTCTAGTCCCAGCCCTACCCTACTCCTGTCTTAGTCCCAGGTCCTCATGAACTTCCTGTTCTCCTCCTCTAGGAGTGGCCCATCAATGGTGGTACCAGCCTGGCCCCACCCCCACCCCAGAGGGACCTGCTGCTCACAGGGTAAGTGACTTTAATGCCGCTTTTCCTCTTCCTAGGAGGACATAGAGGGTGAGAACAGAGTCCTGGGTTGTGCATTTCAGACTCCGGGCACCCTGGTTTACATTGCTCTTACCAGGCTCTGCCCACAGGCATGAGGATGGTACCGTGCGGTTCTGGGATGCCTCAGGTGTCTGCCTGCGGCTGCTGTACAAACTCAGCACAGTGAAGGTGTTCATCACTGACACAGACCCCAACGAGAACCTCAGTGCCCAGGGTGAGGATGAGTGGCCCCCACTCCGCAAGGTGAGGCCAGGAGCCTGGGAACCAGGGATGGGGGTTCTAGGCTGAGACTGGTCCATGGCCACTCACAGGCCTCCCCTCCCTTGACAGGTGGGCTCCTTCGACCCCTACAGTGATGATCCTCGACTGGGCATCCAGAAAATTTTCCTCTGTAAATACAGTGGCTACCTGGCTGTGGCAGGCACAGCAGGGCAGGTAGCAGGCCGGGCCTGGTAGGGGTTGAAGACAAAGTGGATGGGTGGCTCTGGGCAGTGGGAACAGGACTCCCCACCTGACAGTGTCTTCAGGAGCACATCTGCAGCTCAGTGCTTTCTACAGGTTGCTTGATTCCAGGAGGGGGTGGCCTCCAGGAGGTGTTCTTCCTCCAGAAAGGAGAGTGGGGGCTGGCGTTAGCCAGAGGCCTCAGGCTCTGCTCAGGCCCTGTCCTTTGCTTTGGCTTGAGTTCCAAGTATTTGCTATTCTATAGAGCCTGGACTCTGCTGAGCTACCTGCCACCCCACCCAGGTGCTGGTGCTGGAACTGAACGACGAGGCGGCAGAGCATGCTGTGGAGCACGTGGAGGCCGACCTGCTGCAGGACCAGGAGGGCTACCGCTGGAAGGGGCACGAGCGCCTTGCTGCCCGCCCAGGGCCTGTGTGCTTTGAGCCGGGCTTTCAGCCCTTTGTGTTGGTGCAGTGCCAGCCCCCTGCCGTGGTCACCTCCTTGGCTCTGCACTCCGAGTGGCGGCTTGTAGCCTTTGGTACCAGCCACGGCTTCGGCCTCTTTGACCACCAGCAGCGGCGGCAGGTCTTTGTCAAGTGAGCAGAGCAGCCGGGATCAGGGACTGGGATTGGGGCCTTGTGAGGACCCACCCCTGGTCCCCATGGTACTTTATGACCTGACATCCCTCCCTCCCAGGTGCACACTGCACCCTAGTGACCAGCTAGCCATGGAGGGCCCGCTGTCCCGTGTAAAGTCCCTCAAGAAGTCCCTGCGTCAGTCCTTCCGCCGGATGCGCCGCAGTAGGGTGTCCAGCCGCAAGCGGAGGCCAGGTGGCTCCACAGGAGAGGTGAGGCCCAAGGCTGGCCTTGAGCTCAGGCCAGACCCAGAGCAGCCATCTGCAGGATCGAGCAACTCTCCCTCTCTGGGCGTGCTAGGCTATGAGTACAGGATCTGAACCCAGGCCAAGTAGGTTCACTACCCCACAACTGAGTGACCTTCGATACATCTCATTGCTTTTGTGCCTCAGCTTCCCCATATACAAAAACCAGAGACTTAGAGATAAATCTCAAGTAATACTAAAAATCATCTTAGTATTTTTCTGCCCCTTTCTTCCTACAACATGCCAAGAGGCCAGGCAAGCTCTCCCCAGGGCACCTCCTACTTGGACAACGTCCTCTTGGGCCCAAGCCAGGCATGTGTTGCATGACTGTGGCCAGCCTTCCCCAGGAAGGATTACCACTCAGTGAGTCAGTGCCATGGGGAGCGAGGCAAGAGCCCACCCTCAGGCCCAGCTCAACTCACTGCAGGCACAGGCTGTGAGCACCAAGGCAGATCGGACAGGCCTGCAGAACATGGAGTTGGCTCCCGTGCAGCGCAAGATTGAAGCTCGCTCAGCTGAGGACTCCTTCACGGGCTTTGTTCGGACCCTCTACTTTGCTGATACATACCTAAGGGACAGTGAGTAGCCAGCCTGAGTTTGGGGATATAGGGGGCATCCCTGGTGTGAAATACCCCTAGCATGAAGACATGGATAGGTAGGCAGTCTGGCATGAAGGAATAGGTGGATGGGCACGTTAGCATGAGGATATGGGTGGATGGGCACCCCTGGAATGAAGGCATATAGGCAGTGCTGCCTGCTGGCACCCTGGGCAGGCTAGGGACTTGTTTCCCATTGGAAACAGAAAGAAATCAGAGCAACCACCTACCTCTTTCCCTTCTCTGCCTGGGCCTGCCAGTCAGGTTGCCTGGTTTCATTGCCATGCTCCATTGCTCTCCAGAAACGTGGCCAGACACATCTAACTGGGCCTCAATGTCTTCCTATATAAAACGAGGGAATGCTGTCTTCTAGAGCCACCTGGGTTGGGGGGTGGCACGGTTCTGGTGGCAGCCAGTAGGCACGTGGAAATGTCCATCCCTGGTTGCTTCTTCCTTGCTGGCTGTCACCGTGAAGGCCATCTGTGTGGGAAGCCCCATGAGCCTGTGAGAGAGCTTTCCCAGGAGGTAGGCGAGGCTCACAGCATGTCCATTTATAGAGGAGGAAGCTAAAACTTAAAGAGGCTTGCCAACTTGACTTTAGGGTCTCGTGGTGGTTAGTGGCAAGGTGGGATGGAAGTCCAGGTTGCTCAGCTCTGTTCAACTCCCAGAGCCCATGGTTAGATAACCAAGCATTGCTGGGTGTGGTGGTACATGCCTTTAATCCCGGCAGAGGCAGGTGGATCTCTGAGTTCAAGGCCAGCTGGGGCTACAGGGAGACCCTGTCTCAAAAAGATGAAGGAAAAAAAAAAAAAAGATAACCAACCAAGTATCTACGTCTTGGCAGGCTCCCGCCACTGCCCCTCGCTGTGGGCTGGCACCAATGGGGGCACCGTCTACGCCTTCTCTCTGCGTGTACCTCCTGCAGAGCGGAGAATGGATGAGCCAGTAAGGGCAGAGCAAGGTGAGTGTGACCTACTTGGGCTGGAATGTGTGGTGTCACCAACCAAGCCACCCACCACAGCTTCCTCCCCAACCTGCTTCCCCCATAGCCAAGGAGATTCAATTGATGCACCGTGCACCTGTGGTGGGCATCCTGGTGCTCGATGGACGCAGTGTACCTCTTCCTGAACCCCTGGAAGTGGCCCATGACCTGTCGAAGAGCCCAGACATGCAGGGGAGCCACCAGTTACTTGTGGTGTCCGAGGAACAGTTCAAGGTGCTACGTGGCTGACAGTAGCTGCTCCCCACCCCACCCCATTTCCCTAGGATGTCAGCCCCTGGACACAAATGATAGTTGGGACTCAGGATTTTGTTTTGAGTTGGAGTAAGGGTTACAGAATCACAAGAAAGGAGAGGGATCTTGGGGTGGGGCAGCAGGGTCAGTGTGCTTTGCCCAAAGGTCAGAGGTAGGGACACTGAATCTGTGGAAGGCACAGCATACCCAGACCGGATGTCAGTGGCCTGTGTTCCTCTGGCTCAAGTACTGTATCTATGTCTCAGAGCTGAAGGGTCACAAGACCCAGAGGAGTTTGCTGAATACAGGACGATGTCTGCTAGAGGACAGGGTCCCAACAGTAGCAACTGGAAGAAGAGTCATGTTCTGGTTGTGGTATGACCAGCTGCCCTGTGTCCCCAGGTTTTCACATTGCCCAAGGTGAGCGCCAAGCTAAAGCTGAAGCTGACAGCCCTGGAGGGCTCACGGGTACGGCGGGTTGGTGTCGCACACTTTGGCAGCCGTCGGGCCGAGGACTACGGAGAGTACCACCTGGCGGTCCTCACCAACTTGGGTGACATCCAGGTGGTCTCGCTGCCCCTGCTCAAGCCCCAGGTGCGATACAGCTGCATCCGCCGGGAAGATGTTAGTGGCATCGCCTCCTGTGTCTTCACCAAATATGGCCAAGGTGTGCAGGCATGTCCTGGGGCCTCAGCAAGCAGGGATGGGTGAGGGCCTCTCACTGCCAGAGGAGGAAAACAAGAGCAGTTCAGGTGTGGCAGCCACTGCCAGGCTGGCTCTGCCCTGAGTGAAGAATTTTAAAGGAGAATCTGTCCCATCCCCTGGGAGCCCTGAGCTAGCTTTCCCTCTCCTCTGCCTGCCTCCCCAGGTTTCTACCTGATCTCACCTTCGGAGTTCGAGCGCTTTTCTCTCTCCACCAAGTGGCTGGTTGAGCCCCAGTGTTTGGTGGATTCAACCAAAACCAGGAACCACAGCCACCCCAGCAATGGCAACAGCACGGGCCCCAAAAGGACCTCAGACCGAACCAGGTGAGCAAGGCCTTAACACATCCTTGCCCTTTCTGAGGCATCTGCTGCTGACTAGCCAAGACACCCTTCCATCCTTTGCCTGCTGCCAGTCCAGACCTCCACTCCTGCTCAGGCTAGTCAGATAGGTTGACCTCACTCATTTCTTACGGGACCAAGACTTTCAGAGCCTAGTGGCCCCCAGTCCTCATTGTCTATCTCACCCTGTAGGAACTCAGGGAGCCAAAGTGATGGAGAAGGTAAGATAGGCCTCTCAGGCTGCTACTTGGGGCACACCTTGGCCACACCCTGCTAGACCTGGGGTAAAGGGAGGGAAAGGGGCTGAGGGGTGACTGAGCAGGCTAGAAGTGAGGATGGCAGTCCCTGCACCCGGGGCTCTGGGCTTCCAGCACTCCCTCAACCCCTGTAATGAGAGGCTGGGCTGAGGGCCCAGGACAGCCCCACCTGACCATTCTGCCTTCCAGATAAGCAGCCTGGCCCAGTAATGGAGCATGCACTGCTCAGTGACGAACGTGAGTTGGAGCAGGGGTTGGTGAGGCTGGTGTGAAGGAGTGAAGGATGTCTTGAGGGTGTGGGACAAAGCTTGGAAGGCCAGAGGAAACCAGGCACTCTTTCCCTGGGCCAGGGGGAGGCCTGTCAACACCCTGTTGGGATAAAAGAAAAACTGGTTGGCCTCATCCCTGCCATTCCCACTGGGTCTTTCCTGTCTTGCAGGGGTCCTGAAGGAAATCCAGAGCACACTAGAGGGGGACAGAGGGTGAGTCACTGTGGTGCTGGGAGAGGGTTGGGGAGAGCACTGAGAATGAGGCCCCTGTGGATGGTGACTCTGTTTCCGCTGCCGCAGGAGCTATGGCAATTGGCGGTCTCACCGGGTGGCCGCGGCGTGCACCCTCAGCAATGGGGAAGGTAGGGCTGTGGGCGTTCCTGGGGAGGCCCTGCCCAGGGAGGGACAGGAGGAAGAGTCCTAACTGCCACTTCATCAGGGCCCAACAAGCCTTTGGAGGCATCACAGCCCTGGAAAACCCCAGTGGTATCTGGACCTGGGGTGGGTGGCTGAGGAACCCCATCCTGCCCATGATGGTCCTGAGCTGCTATCCATGTCCTTTTCACAGCAGAGTGAACGGGACAGGCATCCAGGCCGTGAAGTAAACACTACTGAGGGCCTTTCTGTGGGGCCTGCCCCAGCTGGAAAAGTCCGAGCCGGGCCAGGGCCTGCAAGCACCCTGGTCACCACCCTGTTGCTGCTCCTGGCCTCAGGAGAGGAGAAACCCTGCCCTGGGCTGCCCCTCCTGGGCCTTGTCTGTGGTCCTTTGTCAGTGTTGCACAGTTTTTATCCCTCCGTCGTCGTCGTTGTCGTCCCCCCACCTTTTTTTTTGTAGTAGACTGGGTTTTAAATTATAAACTTTAACTGCCTCTAAGTGAAACAGTTTTTAATAAACACCTTATTACCTCTTCTCTGAAATGGTCTGAGGACTTGAATTTGTTGGTGATGTAGGAACTGTTCATATATTGTTCCCTAGAGTTCATCTCCAGTCCCAGAGGTACTCAGAAAACCAGCTTTTTAAAGTATTTGAGTCACCAAACCAATGCGGTATCTGAACATTCTCTTTGAGAGGGCAAGCATGATCCACCTTGAGCCTGACACGTGTCATCTAGAGAGCCAGATAACTCCACCCTCAGCTTATAGAGATGTGTGGGTTTGAGAACTTCAGGGGCTCTACAGTGTGTTTACACAGTCAGCTGAACCAACACAAAGAAACAAGTGACATGAAATTTCCTGTCAAGAGACCAAGAATTGAAGATCATGACAAGCAGTCAGGAATCAGGCAAATAGTGAGTCTTGGCGGTGTAGCTCAGTGGTACAGCCCTTGCTTAGCGTTCCTTAGTCCTGTCCTCCCCCTACCATCACCAAAGAAAACAGTCGCAGAACCAGCACTCCTGTGGCTTAGAAATAACACCCTTGAAAATGTTGCCAAGACTCTAAGCATCAATTTACCACCACGCTCACTAGCAACAAGGTCATGAAATTTACCCTGTGCTCTGAACATCAGTTCTAGAAGACAACTCCATATCTCGAGTGTGAGGGGAGTAGTGGGCGTACACAAATGACAGGGCTTGGCGGCCTGCTCTAGCAAGTGAGTTAGCGCTGAGCTTGCACAGGGCAAGAAGTCCAGGAGTCCTTGCAGCAGTCCATGGGAAAGATGGCTGATGGAACAGAAGCATTGAAGGGCTGGAGATGTAGCTCAGTTGGTAGAGTTTGCTGAGCATATAGGAAGTCCTGCGTTCACACCTGTAACCCTAGCCCTTGTGAGGACGATGTTCAAGGAATTCAAAGCCATCCTCGGCTACGGAGAGATTGAGGGTAGCCTGGGCTGCATGAGATGTCAATAAGCCAATGAGATGGGTGACTTAGTGTTCCCTTGGACTTAGAAGTTAGGCTGAAAACACTGGTTTTGCCTGTGACTGGCACGTGCCCTTGTGTCACTCCCGTGCCTTAGTTCATTTATCTATGAGGATTCAATAAGAGCCTGTAAAATTGTGGGGCTGGAGGGATGGCTCAGCAGTTAAGGGCACTGGCTGCTCTTGTAAGAGGACCCAGGTTTGGTTCCCAGCACCCACGTGGCGACTAACAACCATCCCTAACTCCAGTTCTAGAGAATCCGGCGCCCTCTTCTCACCTTTGTGGGCATTGCCCAACACAGGTGGTCTTACATACATGCAGGTAATACACCCATACACATAAATAAAACAAAATAATAAAGATGATTTTTTTAAAGCCTGTAAAATTGCATGACACTGGCTTATAGTAAGCAAAAGAGATGAGAGTTGAGGATGTTGTGGATGATGGATGAAACTGGGAGAGGAGGAGATGCTCCAGAGAGGAGGGAAGGGTATGTGTGTGTGAGAGGAGCAAAGGGGTGGGGAGAGCCAGGCAGGAGAACCAGGCCTGGGGGTAAAACCTCCCCTAGTGTCAAGATTACCAGGTTGATTCCTTAAGGTTGCCCAGGGTCACACAGGCAAGGAAGTGGAGTAGTGCAGCTGGCATGTGTTGGGGGGGTGGGGGCAAGACTAGTTACAAAACCAGCTCCCAGCAGGAGTATTGGGGAACCCCACAGTTGGGGATCAGCAGAAGAGTGGGACTTTGATCCCCGATTCCTCACCTACTAGGCTTCTGTCCTCAAGTTCCTTAACCTCTTACAAGCCATTTCCTTGTCAGAAATGGAGCCACCACCACCCCTGCCAGGTTTGGGGGTAACCTAAACAGTTTAAACACCTGATAGACAAAGAGGGTCTGGGGCAGAATGTCATCTGGGTGAGGCTTCCAAGTAAAAGAACAGATGATAACAGAGGTGACATCATCAAATCAGGTGTTTAACAACATCCAGCAGAAACCTGGGGAAGTAGAGGCAGTCAGCTGGAGTTGGAATTGAGCTTTCTCTCCAGGGCTGGGCTTCCCATAGCTGAACTGGATTCTCTCTCCCACTGAAGACCTTACATCTGGGATAAACAAAGTGACGTCTGTTGGAAATGGTTTACCTTCTTGCTGTTTTTAAAGACACCATGTTTTTATTCTTTTGCTATTTTCTGTCCTTGTCCAAGTTATGGGTCTAGCCCATTGCCAAGCAGAACCTTGGAGGAAACTCTAAGACAGACATATCTGGGTCTGAATTAGGTAGGGGACCGCTCCATTTCTAGAGCCAGCTTCTCAGCTCACACAACAGGACTGCGGACATGGCTAAGCAGTTAAGAGCATTTTGCAGAGAATGAGCTTGGCTCCCAGCACCCATCAGGCAGCTCACAATGGCCTGTAATTCCAGCTCCAGGGGATGCAGTGCCCTTTTTTGGCCTTTGAGGGACTGCACTCATGTGCACATACCCACACATACACACCCATAATTAAAATCTTTTTTAAAATAAGAATTTGCCAATATAATGTGTGCATTACACCTGGGTCATCGGTGGGAGCTCAGAGAACTCCATTTGCTCCAAGAACTGGAGAATTTGTCCCATGAGCTCACAGCACACTCTAATGGGACCACCAAGAAACTGGAGGTCTCTTGACATCTTCCGCACACCCATTCTCCAGCTGGGCCTTAATTCAAAGCAGTGTTCAGCACAGTGCCTAGGGCAAACCAAGCCCTACTGTGCTATATTCATTATTGTTTCTCCCGGGTCTCCGTGTTATCTTTGTAAAATTCATAGTAGTCATAGGCAGGTCAAAGGGGTCACACAGCAGCTTTCATACCCTGGGGGCCCACGCTGTGGGCGTTTGCCCTGTCTATAAATAGAAACCCACCCCAGCTGCCCTTTCATGCCCTGTTGCTTCCACTCACCATTGTTTACAAGATTATCCATGTCATCTCCAGTAGACCCATGTGGTTCTCATTGCTGAGTGATAATCCACTGTGTGAGTGAACACTTCGCCCTACGTGGGGCTTTTTGCTGGCTATACAAGGCCTCAGAATACCACGGCCCTTCACCAACTCCATTGGCAGCAGGGACTGCTGCTTCCAGCCATCTGCAAACACACTGATAATACCATGAGCTTGTGGTCTTTGGGGAGAGTGGCTTCTTCCTTATGATCTGTCTTACTGGCGGGACTGTAACTTAGCACACTGTCTATGGAGGAAAATTTAGAAATCTCCAAATTGCCGGGCTGGAGAGATGGCTCAGCAGTTAAGAACACTGGCTGTTCTTGCAAAGGACCTGGGTTCAAATCCCAGCACCCACATGGCAGCTAACTGTCCAAAACCCCAGTTCCAGGGGATCCAGCTCTTCTGTCCTCCGCAGGCATTGCACGACATGGGTGTACTTACCTACATGCAGGAAATACACACGTACACATAAAATAAAAATAATAAAGTATTTTAAAAATATATCCAAATTGCAAATACATACATAGCTATGGTCCAACAAGTCTAATTCTAGGAATTAATTCTACTTTGAAAAGGGTGAAATTCTATCCTAGTGCTGTTTGTAACTTAAGGAAAAGATGAGGCAACTTTTACAACTCTAGTTTTAAAAAAATTATCAAAGATTCTGTAAAATGCCTCAGTGAATGAAGTGCTTGTCGCCAAGCCTGATGATGTGAGTTTGAGCCCCAGAACCCATAAGGTGGAAGGAGAGAACTGACTCCTACCATCTGTCCTCTGACCTCCCCATGTGGACTGTGGTGTGGTATGCATGTGCCCACACACACACATATATACACACACAAAATAAATACATTTTTAAAATCAGTATTAGTGAAATCACAGTGTGATAATTTGTAGAGATGCTATGCAAGTGAGAGGGAAGGAAGGAAGGGAAGAAAAACTCCGTGGACTCTAAAAACCTCCAGGTCAAACTGTCGAGTGAACAGAGCAGTGGGGAGGGCTGGGGATGTAGCTCAGTTGGTGGGAAGCTTACCTGGTATCCACAGGGCCCTCCCCGGGTACCATTCCCAGAACAGGGGTTACAAATCTGTGAAGATCTACAACTGTAAGCTAAGCAAGACAGCTTCCCCACTTGTGGTTGAAGAGAAAAGTAAAATGAGATTTGCTTTTCTCTGGATTGATAGCTCCAAGAGGGAAATATAAACTGGGACTGGAGATACCGCCAGTGGTTAACAGGACCTCCCATTCTTTCAGAGGACCCAAGTTTGATTCCCAGCACCCACATGGCAGCTCACAACCACCTATATCTGTACCTCCAGGGGATCCAATACCTTCTGGCCTCTAGGCACTGCAATCACATGCACACATGCCCACAGAGACACACACATAGAAATATAAATTTAAAATCTTTTTTTAAAAAATGAAGGGGGCTTGGAGGGATGGTTCAGTGGTTAAGAACACTGGTTGTTCTTGCAAAAGACCTGGGTTCAAATCCCAGTATTCACATGGCAGCTAACAACTGTCCATGACTCCAGTCCCAGGGGATCCAACAGCCTCTTCTAACCTCCTCGGGCATTGCACGACATGGGTGCACTTACCTACAGGCAGGCAATACACACACATTTAAAAATTTTTTTAAGTTTTAAAAAACAAAGGGGGTGGGAAATGAAGGGGGAAGCCGGGCATGGTGGCGCACGCCTTTAATCCCAGCACTCGGGAGGCAGAAACAGGAGGATCTCTGTGAGTTCAAGGCCAGCCTGGTCTAAAAGATTTATCGTCCTCTTTTTTTTTTTTTTAAAAAAAAAAAAAAAAAAAAAAAAAAAAAAAAAAAAAAAAACACAAAGGAGGTGGCTGTGGTGCTGAGAGACGGACGGCTCAGCAGTTAAGCACACTCGCTGCTCTTGCAAAGGACTTGGGTTCAGTTCCCATCACCCACATGGTGGCTAACAACGGTAGTATCGCCAGTTCCAGGAGATTCAAACCCCTCTTCTGGCCTCTGAGGGCATTGCATGCACGTGGCGCACTCATTTAAGCACACAAAACACACATACATATAAAAGTAAACAAATAAAAATTAAAACACTATTTAATGGTGCTGAGTGTAGTTCAATAGTAGAGCAATTACCCAGCACAGAAGATGACCTGGGTTCTATCCCCAGCAAATAAACACTTGAAACCCACAAGTTGGGGGTAAAGAGGTATTTATGTGGCCTGATTAGGTTCCAAGACTGCAAGGGGGTGCAGAAGCATCTGCTTTACCCCAGTCCAAGGTGTAAATTCCTGTTTTATACACTTTTTTCATAAACTATATTTCACAGTGGAAAATTATAAAACTAAGTGCCCCTGCTTACTATGGGTACCCCTGGTCCCAGCCTACTGGAGGAGCCCCAGGTAGAAGAGGGGTCTGGAACAGCTTCACCTGCCCTCTCAGCAGGCAAGTCGTCGTGAGGCTGCAGTAGAGCCTGGGCCCCTCAGTCTGACCCTGTGCCAGGCTGGCCTGCCCGGCAGGGAGTCCCAGCACCGTTGCCCTGTCCACGGCCTTTGTCCACAGCTGCAGCGTCTCCTCTTTCCCCTGCCTCCACTCCATTGTTGACCAAAGGGGTCAGAACCCGTTGCCTCCTGCATTATTGATGCTGCTGCCTAGGTGGGGAGCCCCAGGGCTCCCTGTAGCCTGGCCAGAGGAGAGTGGCGTGCAACCCAGGCCCCCAGGGCACCCGCCGGTAGTTAAGATATCTCAAAAGGAAGAAGGATTGGGGCATTGGGAAGGCTGCTTCGTCCGGAAGGGTCATGGGCAGGAGCAAATGTAAAACGCCCCAGCGCCGGGGACGACCTGGAAGACCCGCCTCGGCCGAGCAGGAGTCCGGGTCTGACAGCGCACCTAACCCGGACCACGGCAAAGCCCGCAAGGCGAGACCCGCTCCGAAGCCGGACACCACCGGAGGCAAAGGAACTGCTGGAGGCCACAGGAAGTCCACCGAAGACGGTAGCCGCACAAGTGCAGAGGCTGCTGCGGCGCCGCAGGCGCCGGAGACCCAGGAGCTGCAGGGCAGCACGCGGCGTCGGGGACACCAGCCCACCGAGAGCCGCGAGTTCGAGGACAGCCACAGCCGTGAGGAGTGTCCAGCCAAGGAAAGGCTGCGCCTGACAGAAAGGCGGATGGTCAAGCGCAGCCGCCGCAGGAGAGAAAGAGAGCGGGGTCCTACGGCTTGGCGGGGCGGTGCAGAGACTCCGGGCATGCATGGGGACACGTCCGGAGGGGATGGAGGCAGCTCGTGCGTGGACAGCGAAGCCCGAGAGGCCCTGGACACCAGCAGCCAGGGCGGCGGAGTCCCGGAGCTGCGGCCCAAAACGGAGCCATCGGACACGGGCTCTGAAGGGGCCAAAGCCGGGCTAGAGGCAACTCTGAGGTCCGGCGAGGGCGAGAGCCTGAGCAGGGACCGTCGAGGCAGAGATGGACACACCTCCGGGCTCTGGAGCAGGGAGGGGTCGTCGGGGACAGGGCCCCAGGGAGCGAGCGAGGATTCCCAGACCGATGCGGACTCCAGCCCAGGGCATAAACGCCGCGCACGGAAGACCCCAGGAACGGCAAACCGGGTCCCTGACACCCCGGGGACAGAGCTGGGCGGGAAAGCCTCAGCCTTGAGCACCGTCCAGAGCGGCTGCGCGCGCGACCCCGGGGATCCGCCGCGTCCAGGGGACTCCAGATCTGCCCCGGATGCAGGTGACGGAGGGGTGCAGCCAGAGGCTGAGCCGCAGGGCGCTGAGGCTATCCGGGGTCCGCGCCGCCAGGCCGGAGAAGTGGCGGGGAAGATGCACGTGGGCACGGACGAGAGCGCAGCCGGAATCCCGGAGGGAGAAGACGCCGGAGCCCCGGCGCCGCTGGCAGCGCTTATGGCGCTCCGCAGGCTGCGTGCTGGGGGCGGCCGCGTGGGCCTCAAGGCGCGGTTGCAGCGCGTAGCGCGCGCCCTGGACTTCCTGAGGTGGCTGCGACTGCGGACGCAGCAACGCGCGGGCGATGGGCACTCCGCCCGGCCGCAGGACTACGAGGCGCGGGGCCGCGCGGGGGCGCTCGAGGCGCGGGGCGGTGGGTTGAGCAAGCGCAGGCTGGCGCTGCGTCTGGCTGGTTTAGCCCGGCTCCGCGAGCTGCCGCGCGCGCCCCCTGGTGGCGACTCCAGCTCTCCGCAGGCACTGGACAGCCCCGTTTCGGAGCCATCTACAGAAGAGGACCCCTCTCCGGATGCCAAGTTCGCGGTGGTCTTCCCCAGGATCCATAGGACCCGGAGGGAGTCGAGCAGCAGAAGCCCAGGAGCATCCGCGAACGCCCCCGCTGGGGAAGGTCGTGTTTCGCCTGGTGCAGGAGCTGCAGAGGGCAGGGAGGGGCGAAGGGCTAGTGGAGAAGGGGTGATCAGGCCCATCCAGGCCACCTTCTTTGCCTCCACTGTCCCCCATGGGACCTCACGAGATGAGAACCGCAGAAGTCACGAGGCGGAGCCCGAGTCCTTGGAAGCCGAGAGCCCAGTGCACTGGACGCAGACCTCTGTCCCCTGCGAGGATCCTGGGCTTGACAGAGATAATGCTCTGCTGCCACGACTCACCTTGGAGACGCGCCTGCAGCAGAATAGCCCCTGTGCGTCCCCAAGGGAGAGGTGGGAGCCCGAGGATGATGCTGAGGCAGCCCTGGAGAGGGGTCTGGAGCTGAGCCTCCAGCGGGGCCTGGAGATGCCACCCTTCCCAGGTATCGAGGACAAGAGTCTCAGAGAGTACCTGGAAGACACTGAGGACCTTGCCCGGCTGCGGTGAGGGGCTGTTCCAAATCAGCCACTTCTGGCTCAGTTCCACCCTTATCTTTTAAAATCCTGTAGACTTTTATTAAGTGAGCAAAGGGGATTTTTAAAAACATTTATTTATTACTTATATATGTATGAGTGTATTGCCTGCATGTACATAAGTGCATCTGTATCTTGCAATACCCGAAGAGGTCAGAAGAGAGTGTCATATCCCCTGGAACTGACGTTACAGATGATTGTTAGCAACCTCATGGATGCTGGGAACTGAAACCGCGTCCTTTGCAAGAGCAGTCAGTGCTCCTAACTACTGAGACATCTCTCCAGCCCCACAAAGGGGATTTTTTTGCCTCACAAACGGTTTTCTAATTGGAAAAGGCCGATGAGGAGTGAAAGATGCCCCTTTGAGAGCACTCCTACTGGGGCCTGAACCCAGGGTCTCATGCACATTCCTCAAGTGCACATCCCTCCACCCCTGAGCTATATTCCCAGCCCTCTTTACTTTGAAACTGGATCTCACTAAGTTTTCCAGGCAGAAGTTGAACTTGCAATCAGCCTCCTTCAGTCTCCCAACTAGTTAAGCTCACAGGCCTGTACTATAGGACAGGAAAGGGACGTCCTTTTCTAACTAGCACAGAGCTTCCCTCTGTGTCAATGCCTCCCCCTACCCCAGGGTGGGTAGCTACTGGGCAGCCTGGCTGAAAGTTGGATGACTCATCTCAGGGTTCCCTGCAGCCAGTGACAGAGCTAGCCCAGGACCTCCATCATTCTCCAACTTTCCCTTCTATCCTGCTGTTCCTACAGGCTGGTGTGTGACAGCTCTGTTCTGCTGTGTCTCAAGAAGAGGTTTCACCTGGGTCGCATCTATGTATGGGGGAACCACAGGGAAGGGATGTGGGCTGGATTCCCTTTCCCCTAGGGTTAGAGGGCTCCCTGGCTCCCCTGGGGCTCCTCTTTCCCCTCATCCCGGGACCCAGTGTCAAGCAGGTCTGTCTGGCCGCCTGCAGGACATTGGTGGGGGAACTAGTCATGTATACTCCCCTGTTCCCTTCTCACAAGAGCTTCTGCTTTTTTCACCAGACATTTGGGGGGCCCCTCCTGCTTGCTCTGAACCCCTACCAGCCACTGTCTCTCTTCTCACCAGAGGTTTTGGCCAGCTACCATCCCAGGAAGGCCCCCAACACCACTCCGTATGTGATTTTGCCCCTTTGATCCTGTGCTTAACTCGCTGCATCTCTCTCATTGACTGAGGTGCCAGCGTCTGTGCACACATCTGCTTTGACCTCGGAGGGCCCTAGACAACCATCTCTCACACCTTCTTATTTCCCTGCCTCAGACACATCTTTGCCATTGGGGCAGCAGCCTACAGTCTGTCTCAGAGCACTTCGCAGGACCCCTGTATCCTCCTAGGGTGAGTTCTGGCTGCCCTGCTTGTCTGAACCTATAGGCCACCCTGAGGACACCTGGGGTGGAGCATATGGTCTGCATTTGAAACTTACTGGTCCCATGTGCTGCTGGGCAGGAGCTGAGAACATCAAGTGCCCCTGGATGATGGATCTTTCTGGTTGGTCATCATGGGCTAGGTGTATTCTTTCCACGTTTGTGGGGGGTCTTCCCCCATATAGGTGTTACTTCTGTATGGTACATTCCTATGGCCTGGGCTCAGTGGGGCATCAGTCCTAGGTGCTCCTTCAAGATCCTCCAGTCCTCGTCCCTTCCTTTGCTCCTCCCTCTTGCAGGGGCCACAGTGGCTCAGGGAAGACAGAGGCCGCCAAGAAGATTGTAGCGTTCCTAAGCAACATGGAGCAGAAACAGACAGGAGACACTGTGTTTCAGGTGAGGTCTGGCTGAAGGCTATCAACACCCAACCAAGGGGCAACTGGTCATATCTAGGCCAGTTCCCCAAGTCTGTGGCTTCTCAAGAGTTAGCTCCAGGCTTTGCCTGCTGCAAGAGAATGGGGTTGGGTTTGTTTTTGTTTTTGTTTTTTTAAGCAGGATCTCACATAGCCCTGGATGGCCTAGAACTTGCTATATTGCTAAGGATGACCTTAAACTTCCGATTCTCCTGCCTTTACCTCTTGAGTGCTGGGATTACAGTGTGCACCACTGTGCCATTTTATGTGGTGCTGGGGATTGAACTTAGGGCCTTATTTATGCTAAGTAAGCACTCTACCAACTGAGCTGCATCCTCAGCACTTTTTATTTTGGGGGTGCTTTCTGATGGGATTGACCCCACATGGGCCAACAGTATAAAGAGGACCCCTCATGAGTGGTGGGTGTTACTGGTATCCTAGGAATACATGAGTGCCCCAACCTCCATACAGCTAGAGGACATGCTGCCTGTGCTCAACAGCTTTGGTCATGCCAAGACTATCCTCAATGCCAATGCCAGCCGCTTCGGCCAGGTGTTATGCCTCTGCCTGCAGCAGTAAGTGATGGGGGTCCAGTTGGGCACAATGGTATCTGAGATGGGTTGTTCTTCTTGGGAGCCTGGATGTGGCCTTTGTCCCTAGTCCCTGGTGGGCCCATTCTAAGGTGTGCCCCTGGGTGTGCACCCTAGACACCCCTGCCCTGTCTCTTGTATCCATAGGGGGGTCATTGTAGGAGCCTCTGTGTCCCATTATCTGCTTGAGACCTCCAGAGTGGTGTTTCAGGTAGGAGCAAACCTGCCCACCCCTCTCCAGCTCTGAGAGTGGGAATAAAGGGAGGAGCCTTGGACCTCAAGCCCTGCTCCCTGACAAGCCAGTCCCTGTTCTCCAAGGCCCAGGCTGAACGGAGCTTCCATGTTTTCTATGAGCTTCTGGCAGGGTTGGACCCCATGGAACGTGAGCAGCTCTCTCTGCAGGGACCTGAGACTTACTACTACCTCAACCAGGTGGGGGCAAGGCCCTCATGGAGTGCCTAGACAAGGGTCTCAGCCAGGGTTCTAAGGATGCTATGGGGATGCCAGGCCCCACCCCACTCCTAGCCTTCTGTGCTCTACAGGGTAGAGCGTGCAGACTCCAGGGCAAGGAGGATGCCCAAGACTTTGCAGGGCTACTGAAGACCCTGCAGGTACTGGGCTTGTGTCCAGAGGAGCTCACTACAGTCTGGGCCTTGCTGGCCACCATCCTGCAGCTGGGCAACATCTGCTTTTCTTCTTCAGAGGTAGGCTCACCTGTGGTCAGGCCCAGTGAGCATGCTGGATGCTCAGTGATGGTTTGTAGAATGAGGGCAATGACCATGATGCCAAAGCCCTGGGGTGCCTCCGAAAACAGGCAGCTATCCCATTGCATAGATAAGAAAACTGAGCACTGGTACTTCTGCAACCCTCCTGCTTCCTGTAGTACTCAGCGCCACCCCTAGAAAGAATGCCTGGGCTAGCCAAGATGCTAGTACATACTGAGCACCGGGAAATCACTTGACACTTTTTATTTTGTTTTATGGTTCATTGTTTTTATTTTTTGTGTTGAATGCTTGCCTGCATGTATGTAACTGTACCATGTATGTACAGTGCAGTATCCACAGAGGCTAGAGAGGGTGTCAGATAACCTGGAACTAGAGTCATGGACAGTTGTTAGCTGCCATGTGGGTGATGGGAACTTGACCTGGGTCCTTTGCAAGAGAAGCTAGTGCTCTTAATTGTTGAGTCATCTCTCTAGCCCCATTTGACACATTTAAAAAAAAAAAAATCCGTAGGCCAGGCATAGTGGCACATGCCCTTAACCCCAGCACTTGGGAGGCAGAGGCAGGAGGATCTCTCTGAGTTCAAGGCCAGCCTGGTCTACATGAGTGAGTTTAGGCCAGGGGCTACAGTTGGCTCTGTGGTTAAGAGCATTTACTGCTCTTGTAGAGTACCCAGATTCAATTCCCAGCACCCACATGGTGGTTAGCAACCATCTGTGATACCAGTTCCAGGGGATCTGACGCCTTCTTCTGACCTCCTCAGGCATTGCACAACATGGGTGCACTTACACACATGCAGGCAATACACTCATATACATAAAATTAAAATAATAAATAAAATATTAAAAAATAATAATAGTAATAATAAAACTTTAGTTCTCATAACAACATTGTGATCTAAGGGTTATTGTTTTTTTCTCTAGCAGTGATTCATGTGTAGGGAAAGAAAAGGACTGTCCAGAGCTGCCCAGCTAGTAGTAAGAAGAGAAAGTCAGGACGTGCACTCAGGGCCCCCAGACCCAGAACCTGGTTTACTGTAGCCCAGAGTTCCCCATGTGCTAGCAAACCTTTGAGTCACAAGAACTGGCTAAATAAAGCAAGGCCCTACCTGCCCCTGCCCTGGGGATTATGTCCATTCCACAAACAGATCTCTCCTTTATCCTCTTCTGTCCAGAGGGACTCCCAGGAGGTGGCAGCTGTGTCTAGCTGGGCCGAGATCCACAAGGCAGCCAGACTGCTGCAGGTGCCACCAGAGCGCCTGGAGGGGGCTGTCACCAGGAAGGTCACGGTGAGCCCAAAGCATCCTGGGAACATGGGGAAACAACATGGAGCACCCAAGAGCAGGGGCCTGACATAGCCTGTGTCTTCCTCTGGCCTCCAGGACACACCCTATGGCCCAGTCTCAAGGTCTCTACCGCTGGAGACCGCCATTGATGCCAGGTGACTTGGGGATGGGAGAGTGGAGCCAGGCATGGCACTCTGCTGGTCAAGGCTCACTCATGGTGCCTTCAGGGATGCCCTGGCCAAAGCCCTGTACTCACGGCTCTTCAACTGGCTTCTGAAGCGAATCAACGCGCGGCTTGCTCCACCCAGCAAGGCAGGCGTCGTGGGCACCATCACTGTCGTGGACACCTTCGGCTTTGAGGTTACCCCTTGGGAGGGACAGGGCAGGAGGCGCCCATCTCATTCTGATGCATTTCTGAGGGGAGTCCAGCACTCCCTGAGCTCTTTGTCTTTACAGGCTTCATCTGGGGCTATTGAGTGGATGCTTGACTGAGCCACCCTGGGTGGGGATAAGAATGAACAGGATGAAGAGGACAGGGAACAGGCCCCGCCTCTCTGGCCTTTAGAGTCTGGTTGAGGGTGGCAGGGAATCTTAAGCCTCCATCCATTCACCTCCTCCTGCATGTTACTGAGAGGAGGATGAGCCTGCTGTTGGCTCCTGTGTCTTTCTCAGCAGAGCCTCTGTTTCCTTCCTGGTACTTCCCTCCTGGCTTTCCTGTGGGAGGGGCTAGAGCCCACCACAAGCCCCAGTGCCAGCCTGCTGGAGCAGGGGTCAGGAAGCTCCAAAGCTTCCCAATCTGAGTGAGCCCTGCCTTTGGCTAGCTATGTGCCCTCAGGCAAGTTAATTAACCTCTCTGAGGTCAGTACTCCAGTCTAAAGCAGGGATCCCAGCAGGTTTTACTTACCTCATGGAACAAGTCCCTAAGAGTTGCCTGCTCTGCGCAAATAGAATTGCCCTGCTCTGTCCTGCTCTGACATTGTTTCTGGAGAGTTCTGTCCTGCTTGGCTTTACAGACACCCATAGACACATCATGCATGGGTCTGTCCCACAGCCTCGTTACCCACATACTGAGAAAGGAGGGACGAGGCAGAGTCTCTCAAATCTCCCTGAGTTGTCCCAGCAATGCATCACTTTCCAGAAGATTTGTTTCTTTAGGGTATCAAGGGGATGAGGTGGGAGAGAGGAGGAGACATACTCCCTTCCCCTGTTCCTGCATAGGCACTGTTCATTGCCCTGTGTGTTCTACCCTCATCAGGATGTCCTTCGTGACTATACCTGCCATGGAGGGGTACATGCTTATGTGCTCTGTGTATGTTTGGGGGTATAAAAAACCATATGAAGTGTGCCCTGCTGGGCTTGTGGTGGAATGCTTAGGCTGTACAAGAAGGCTAGAAGGCTTCCTGGAGGTCGCAGCCAGGAGACTTACTGATGGAGGGAGCTATGGGATTCTGAGGGTCATCAAGCCAGGTAGTAGGAGGAGATACCCTCCAGACCCCAGGACCAGAGCCCCAAAGGCTCACAGTGATGTTGGAGCAGAAGGCAGGTGTGTGGAAGGGAAGCCGGAAGGACAGGTGTGTGGTTGAGGCATGTCCTTGGTGGCCCATAGGCTGTGCCAGGGTCTTTTGGATTTGATCCTTTTGACTTCAGCCTCAGCCCTGGGGTACCACTCCTCCCTGAGCCCTGGAGAGAATGGAGGGACAGCCCCACTGCCTTGCACCCACCTCCTATGCAGCTCCCTCACTGTTCATGTGCCCCAGGCACTGCGGGTGAATGGCCTGGAGCAGCTGTGCAGCAACCTGGCCAGTGAGCGTCTGCAGCTCTTCTCCAACCAGATGCTGTTGGCCCAGGAGGAGGTAGGGAGCTGGGCATGAACATGGCAGGGGACACAGGGCAGTGCCTGGAACAGAGGCCAAAGTAGTGCATGGGGGGTGGTTCAACCCTTCTTAGCCTCAGTTTATTTACCTATATAAGGGGAAGGTAATCCCTGCTGCAGCTCAATAAGTCCCCCCATGAATGTGGGCTGTAAAAGGCCAAATGACGGCTGTTTCCAGGAAGAGTGTCGGCGGGAGCTGCTGTCCTGGGTGCCTGTTCCCCAGCCTCCCAGGGAGTCCTCCCTGGACCTCCTGCTGGACCAGCCCCACAGCCTCTTAAGCATCCTGGATGCCCAGACATGGCTATCCCAGGTGAGGATTAGGCTGTAACCCTCCGAATCAGGGGCAAGGAGTGGGAACCCTGGACAGCCAGGCTGGAGGGGCTTCTTGGGAGACAACCAGGTTATGGGGTCTAAACAACCGGGCCATCTGCTGCGCTCACATCTCATCTGAGTGATCTTGAGCAAGATCCCTGGCTTCTGAAGGCCCTAAATCCTTGCCACAGATGGAGAAGATGGTGCTTGATGGGCAGAGAAATGGGAACACAGTTCAGGCAGCTTTTGTACTTCTTTTTTGATCTAGTCAGGCATTGCTCAAGTTTTTTAGTCAGTAGGGGACAAGCCCCAGGGCCATAGTGCATCCTTGCCACAGATACATTTTGTTTCAGTTTTTCGAGACAAGGCATCATGTAGTCCAGGCTGGCCTTGAGCTCCTGACCCTTATGCCTCCAACTCCTAAGTGCTGGGATTATAAGTATTTGCCACCATGCCTGGCTTTCATTTACTTTTTTTGAGCCAAGGTCTCACCAGGATCTTTTAAGTAGGGTCTTTGATCCTCCTGCCACAGAATTTTTTTTAAAGCATTTTATTGGGGGTTGGAGAGATGGCTCAGTGGTTAAGAACACTGGTTGTTCTTGCAGAAGACACGGGTTTGAATCCCAGCACCCACATGGCAACTAACAACTGTCCGTAACTCCAGTTCCAGGGGATCCAACAGCCTCCTCTGTCCTCCGCAGTCATTGCACAACACGGGTGCACTTACCTACATGCAGGCAATACACACATACTCATAAAATAAAAATAATAAATTTTAAAGAATAAGAACAAATCATTCTGGAAGAACGCAAAGGAAAATAGCTTTAGATACTTAAGTGACAATAGAATTTATTCTCATAATTGTTTTAAGAGCTTTTGTATAATCCTCATCGCTATTATGAGATATAAAATGTATTTAACAAATCTGTAATCATTATGCCAAAAAATCTGAATTACTGTAATATTTTGCATATTGTTAAAA